GCGTGTGTGTGTGTGTGTGTATGTGTGTGTGCGTGTGTGTGTGTGTGTATGTGTGTGTGTGTGTGTGTGCGTGTGCGTGTTTCCTTGTGTGTGTGTGGGGGGGGGGGGCGACCCCCCCTTAACCAACCAATCAATCAATCAATCAATCAATCAATCAAAAAAATAAAGTTACGAAGTGTCATATTTTTTTAATTTTTTTTTTTTTAATGAATGAATGAATGAATGAATCAATCAATCAATCAATCAATCAATCAATCAATCAATCAATCAATCAATCAATCAATCAGTCATCAATCAATCATTAATCAATGAATCTTTTTTTTTTTTTTCCCCTACCACCCACCACCCCCCAACCACCGAACAAACTTTTTTTTTGTTGTTTTTTTTTCACATTGGGGGGTAGCCCTCGACATGCATCCCCCCCCCCCCCCCCCCCCCCCCCCCCCCCCCCCCCCCCCCCCCCCCCCCCCCCCCCCCCCCCCCCCCCCCCCCCCCCCTCCCTTCAGATCCGATTTCCCACCCCTGGAAGGCCCCGACAACGTGTCACACGGCCATACGTACGGCCCGTACGACTGTCTAGGGCCCCGTACGTACGGCCGTACGGTTGTTCGTACTCCCCGTATCTATATAGGGGGACACACAAGTATAGACTGAACCTGCGTAGCATGGCGAACATGTTCGCGCCCCTTCATGTTCGTGCGAACGGCTCGCGAACATGTTCGCGCGAACGTTTTTTTATTTCGTAAAAAAAAAAAAAAAAAAAAAATGTTTTTTCGGTTTTTGATTTTTAGCTCATGATTGGCTACGAATTTGAACATGACTCCAAGGCAAAAGTTGCTTGTATTGTTATTTTTCATAACATATATTGTTTTCAGATATTTCTGAGAATGTGTTTTTGTTTTTTTTTTTAATTTTTTATGTTCGCGTTCGGAGGGTTTTGGGAGCTTGTTCGTGTTCGGGCGAACATGTTCGCGTTCGGCTCTGAACGCGAACACGGTGCTACGTAGGAATGAACCAGGACAAGAGAGAGGGATGGGAAGAAGAAGCATGCGTAGAGATGGAATTGCACATGCAGGCTCAGAGAGAGCACGAAGTCCGGCTAGCTGGTAAGAATAAATTTATTGAGTATGTATTTTATTTTTATGACTATAATGACAAATTGCACAGTACTGGCTCATTGCTAGAAACAGTGGAGCAGGCCAGGGCGAGGCTCGGGTGAGCACAAAGGTGCCCAGACTCTCCCTCTTGAAACTCTTACCTGCATTCCAATCAGCAAATGTCACTCAACAATCTGTAATTCTACCATTATCCCAGTCAGCAAGAGCCTCACAATGTTTTGAACCTTTCACAACGTTTCGGTGCCAAGTGATCAGAATTTCAGAACTCGGTGATTTGCTACTCGATCAGCATTCAATCAGCCCCCAACTAGCATTCAATCAACATTCAGTCGCCCAAGTTGCTCGAACCTTTCCAGTCAGTTTCAACCTGCAGTCCGTCTTTGCAAAAAGACTCTGAGATTTGTTTTCAGTCCCCTACTTAGCACATGAGTGCAGTTCTGTCATCTCCTGTCAGTGAAACTGTCTTGGCCAGTCTCAACAAGATAGCCATCAAGGATGTTATCCGATATCAATATGTCAGCGTCATCCGCTTCAGTCGAGGGGGCCTGACAGTCTTTGTCGTTCTCACCAGTTTCGCGGGTGGTACCATCTATGACCCGAGACTCTTTGTAAAGAAGGGCAAAGAAGCCCATGATCACTTTGAATCAGTCTGGATCGCGGCAGCCAAACATTTGGAAGAGAGGGAGAGAGAGTTAGATGAGAGCGAGGTGAGGCTGATTCGCAGCTTTGGGCCGAAGCTCTACGTGAATTACCCCTGGCCAAGCCTTCGGTTCCTTTTACTCTCTCAAATGGTTGGGGAGACTTGGTAGATCTGGCCAAGAGGTACATTTCTCCTGCAGAAATTGACTATGAGGCAGTGACCGAACCATCCGAGTTCCGGCATTTCAAACGAGGGATTTTCTCTCAACCACATCTTCCTACTTGATGGGAGGAATTTTTTGCTATGGTCGACTTCTGTATCATGGGACTTCGCTGAAAACGTTCAGAACTCGCAGGCTTCAGGTGGCTCTATATTCAGAGGCCACAATCTCAGGGAGTAAGGGAACATGACCCAAAGCGCAGAAAACACACTGCAAAATGAGAGATTGAGTGTATGACCAAGAGGGATGAGTGAGGACTCTTAACTAGTGTTGGTCATGCTCTCTTCATGTGTACTCTCTGAGATTGTTATGAGTTCTCATTGATCCTTCATTTATTCTTGTCATTGCACAGGTCAGTCGGTTTTACCTCACTTGCATTGTCTTGATTGATGATTGTGCTCTTTGATGATTCCTGTCGCAATTCTCAAAATTAGAAAATTGGCAAAATTGATACATGCACGACACGCCAAAATTTCATGATTATTACTGACATAATCTTTGTTGTTTCTAATAAAAATGAAAGATTCCTAAGATCATGGACCGGTGAAGACCGTAATTGAAGGGTCCCGCTCGAAGCCGAACGCACACAACAGGAAGGGATTTACTTTATTTAATTTATTTTATTTATTGCAAACTTCATCCAAACTCTGCGACGGGCTGCGTGACAGCCTGTTGGCTTTCTAGTCACATGAAGAGGCCTGA